CACACACACACACACACACACACACACACACACACACACACAACACAAAATAAATCTAGCCAGGCGTGGTGGTGTACACCTTCAATCTCAGCACTCAGGAGGCAGAGGTAGGCAGATCTCTGTGAGTCCAAGACCAACTTGGCTTATATAATGAGTTCCAAGCCAGTCAGGGCTACACAGTGAGACCCTGTCTTAAAAATAATAATAATAATAATAATAATAATAATAAATATTTTGAAAGAAAGAAAACCAATGTAGACTGGAAATAGAGCGCTTTTAAGTCAAAAAAGAAAAAACCCTGTATATCTAAGATGAATGAAAATAGACTTATATGCCTTAGAAATCCTAAAATGACACATATACAGCAAAAATGTTTATATATTTCTGTACCTAAATTAAATATGAGGAAGGAAAAAAAACTCTTTAAAAATCTTTGGACTATAAACAACTCAGCTATCCAAAACATATAACTTTATCATAACAATATAGTAATATTCTTCATGACCCATGATGTTAGGGCACTAAAGGAAAAACAGGCAACTGATGAGGTTTACAATGTAATTCCAATTTGACAATTGTATTAAATGAGGAAATAAGAATTGCAGCTGCTCTACTTCAACATAAAATCATCTTTTATCCTTTACAAAAATATTTGTTGAACTGTCCGTTTGTACTACAGGGTTGTTAAATAAGTGTTATTTCCTTCAATAATACAATTCATACTTCTTTCTCATTTTCACAATACCCTCGTTTCTTTCTCTCCCCTCCCAACTTTTCTTTTTTGATAAAGGGTTTCCCTGGGTAGCCCAGGCTGCCCTTGAACTTGTGATCCTCCAATCTCACACTCCTGAGCACTAAAATTACGGGGATTACAGACCTGTGCCATTGTGTCCACCCTAACTCTCTCATTTCTAACATTCATTTTCCACAATGTTAGTGCAATGTCTTACCTATTCTATTCCAAGTCCCCTGGATTATGAATATAGGTAATGTGACCTATGACAAGCAGTTCTCACTGAATTGAGCATTCAACAATAAAGTTACATTTGTCATGTTTTAGCACAGAGTGCTAGTATATAGTCATCTGCTGTTGACTGATTCATCCCAGATACTAACCATTCACCACAGGTGTCAGTTTAAAAATCTGTGAAAAATTGTTAATGCCAGTAATAACTTACAATTTAGTGGGAAAATGTAAATAAGAATTTTTCACTTTAATGATTACATACTGACTGACAGACTTGAAAGGCCCTTGTTTTTTCTAATAGTATGTGTACATTAAGGTTCCTCCACTGAAGGAAAAAGTTTGCATTGTGTTAGTTCCAGTTACAATTTCCAGCTGAGTCAAAGTTCTTCAGCCTTAAAGCAGGAAATCCAAAAGGAAATTCCATCATCAGATCCCAGGGCTTGGCAATTCAAAGATCCTTTGCAACAGAGATATAGAAACTCTCTATTTTTTATAACCTTACCTCATATCTTCAAGCAAATCACATTCTGCTTGATGTTTGGCTTGAAGTTTTGTCATCTGTTCACCTTGAATGTTTTTCAGTTCTTGTGTAACTTTCACCTAAAATACAACATGTATTTATTGAAGGCTTCTACTACAACTTGAACAAGAAAAGTTAAACAGTATCTGTTAGAATATATACTTCTGGTTTATCTCTGCCAGAAAACTGCAAATTCCTTGTTTGTCATCTAGTTTTATTACTAAAACTATTTATTTTTCATATTAATGAAAAAATATTGCCAAAGAATCTGAAATGGGCTGAACGGAAACACACAAATATAACAATTACAGGTTTAAAAGGTGCATAATAAACTGTCCTTCTGTCTTTTCTTTCTTCCAAAAAATAAACTGTAGACATTAACCACCAGGAGCAGCGAGCACAGATGAAAGAGAGCATGGAGTATCTAATACCTAACGACTGAAATACACGATCATGAAATAATATGCATGAATCAACCATATTAATTATTCCACAATGGCTGCAAGAAAGCACACAGTCTCAGGATGATGCCCTCCACTCTGACAGCGCATCAAATCACAATCTCTTTCTCACAAAGGAGAGCGCAAAAGTGACCTTCCTGCTTATGCAGTGCTTTTAAACACCCAGGAAGCCAGGCCCGGTGGTGGCCCCACTTCAAACTGCGAGAACCGCCAAAGCCAGCTGGCTGAAGCCTCCCTGGCCAGGGTAGGACCCCAGGGTTTGAGATTATGGCGGAATCCTGGTACAAGGCTACCGGGAGAAATAGGGGTACGTGTGCAAAAGAAAAGAGATGCCTTAACTGCAGAAATCCAGATTGAAAAAAGGAAAGAAACGGAAACACACACACACACACACACACACAGATGAGTTAAGTCATTCGGCAAATGTTTGCCCACGAAAGGAGAACGGAACTGCCTCTACCCACTGTTCAGAGTAGGTATCAAGTATCTATGTGTAAGATTAAAAAAGACAAGGACACAGACTCTGCTCCTGGAAAAGGTGGAGAAGGGCGCAGTCAGGAAGCTGCTGGCAAGCCCAGAGCACCGGTCACGGGTACGCAGGCCATCCAAACCCAGATCCTAGTGCCCACGCCACACATAGCCGGGTTCTGGCTCTCCTGCGGGAAGCGCCACGGTTTTCCTTGCCTCCTAGCCGGGGCCGGGGCAAGAGCGGGGGGAGAGCTGAACCCGTCAATCCTTAATTTGCTTTCCCTAGGGGTGGAAGGGCGGTGACCGTTCCAACTTCTTTTCGGCAGCCCCGTGGGAAAAACAGGCCAAACCTTATGGCTAGACTTGAAACAAATCTCTCCCTCCCCGGAAATTTACCAGTGGGCTGAGGGTGTAGACAAGCGGCTGGAAGGCTCGAACCTGGCTCAGACTAAACAATCCCACACGCACGAGGCTCTGCAAATGTGCAGGAGCTCCCCTGCCTCCCCTCCGGGTAGCCCCGAAGATTGCACTTTGCACTGGGCAGCACTGCCATACAGGCGCGAGCACACACACACACACACACACACGCACACACACAAATGCACACCCGAGAAACTCTGGCGAAGGTCTGGGGGTGCTATCCGGTGGAGTGGACCAGCGGATAGGCCTCCCCTCAGTTGCAAAGACACCTCACACACGCGACCCCTTGCCTGGAGCCGGAGGCAACTCAGTGACACGCCAACAGGCGAGAGCGGTCACGGCCCCTTGCGGGAAGGGGGAGGGGGCACAGCGGTCGCCCCAGCCCTGTTCTTTGTACGCATCACCACCACCACCCAAAAACCCTCTAAAGGCCCCCCGCCAGCTACGCCCTTACCTTCCTCGGCGGTGGCTGCATGATGCTGAAGGGACATCAATCCTCCCCCCACCCCGACGGCGGCCTTTAAAGGACGAGGAGGATGAGGACGGCTGGGGAAGAACGGGCGGCCCAGCGAGCGAGGGCGCGCGCGTGTGTGAAACGAGAGCCACAGGAGGAGGAGGACGCGCTCCGGAGGTGGCCAGGCCGGTGCGCGGCAGGAGAACCCCGGTGGCGGCGAGTGTGCCGAGGGAGGAGGCGGAGCGCTGGGAAGGCCTGGGGCCCGGGGGGTGTGTGAGGGAAGGAGGCGGGGACGCCGGGGGCTCAGCCGGGCGGCTGGGGAGGAGCCGCTGCGCCGTCCGCGCTCCCCGCCCGCTGCAGCTGCGGGCCGCGGCGGGTCCCCCCACCCACTCAGCCAGTCCGGCCCCCGCCCGGCGCGGGGAGGAGGCGGAGGAGGAGGAGGAGGGCGGCGGTGCTGCGCTCCTCGCTCAGGCTCCGGCCGCCACTCAGGCCGCGGGAATTTCCGGCCCCAGCGCGCGGCACAGCGCCCCGCTACGGCGGCGGAAGGCACCACGTCTATCGAGGGCTGACTTCAGGGGGGACCTGGCCGCGCGCGGCGGAGAGGCCGCGCCACCGGGACTGCGCATCGCGGTGGGAGTCGCGGGGGAGACTAACGGATTGGCGGACGGAGGGGAAGGCCGGAGAAGCTAGAAGATTCCCCCGGTCCTCCCTGAGAGTGGCACGTTCCAGAAGCCTCCGGGCCTCCCTCCCCCACACCGGGAGGCAGCCGGGGGCTTCCCGCGCGCTTTCCCGCCAGCCCGCCGCGGCGCGCGCCTGCTCCCGGGGGCGCGCACGTGGGCGAGAGAGGGCTCTGCGCCGACGCACGCGCACAGACCGCCCCCGCCTCCTGACCGCTTCTGCAGCTGCAGCGCTCGAGTGGTGATAGGGCAGGAGTAGGGGGGCTACCTTCCCGGCGAGAGCGTTTGCAATGGGGAGAACTGCGGGTTTGGCTTCTTCAACATTTCCTCGCTAGCTAGATGTCCACTAAGAAGTTGGAGGTGAATAAATCCTTTAGTAACTGGTCGCTGGTGCCAGGCCTTGGCCATTGGAGGGGGTCAGGTGAAATTAACCAATTGACTGGCAAAGGAACAAACGGCTCTTAATACTACAGAGCATTTAACCAGAGATCGTGGACTCTGCTGGAAAAGAACAGAAAGGGCCCCGGGCTCCATATCGCAGATAGATTATCTAGTGTCTGCAGAGGTGTGATGTTCTCAAGGTCACAAGGCGGGACTGTAGACCCAACCGTTCTATGGGTTATAAAGAAACTGATGCAGAAGCGGACATGGGCGGGCTTTACTTGGTGTTAGAGTCCTTGCCTAGCAGGCGTAGAGGCCCTAGGTTAATCCCCAGCAAGGCAGAAGAAAGAAAGAAGGAAAGGAAAGGGAGAAAGGAACAGGTAGAGGATGAGAACCCTGGGGGAAAGTAGAGAGACAGCAAGGGCCATGGAGGAAACAATTGATGAATCCCTTATCTGAAAGTGAAGGCCTCTGGAAACCAGCCCACTTTCCCTGTCCTGTAGTTGGCTGGATGAGTTCAACCTCGTCTGACAATGAAGATGCTGGTTCTAGGCAGGGTCCTCCCAAGGCACCTTCCTGCTCTGTCCAAAATACCCAAGAAAGAGGTGTTGGGCTCTTTTGGGTTGCTTGAAAAAGTAGGAAAACCTTCCTTAGGCCTTCTCACTTGCTCTCACTGGACTGTGTGGAATGTAAGCTGGATATACCCCCACAATTCCTCCAGAAGTTGCAGTCCCAGATAGCTGTTCTCAGAAGTGTAGTTCAGGTTAAAAAAAAAAAAAAAAAAGGAAGGTCGCTGAGGTCTGGCTACACCAAGGGTAAGTTGCCAGATAGCCAACTGGCTATGTGGCCAAAAACCGGAAAGACAGAACTTGAACTCAGTTGTCTGGCATTGCTGTTAACCTACATTCTTGAGCAGGGAAGCAACAGAGTCACATCTGTGCTTGAGTCAGATTCATCTAGAGCTGTGTATAAACTAGGAGACCTATCCTGCTATTTCTAGTTTCCTTTAGGCCATTTCTCCACCATAGTTCTTGATTAGATCAAGGAAGACCTGGGGCAAGGGAACAGGTGGATGGGAGCCCAGAGCCATGACCACTGCTGCAGGGGCAACAGCTAGAGCCCAAGCCACAGTTAGGGAAACTGGGCTCCATTTTCCCACTGAGCTTTGGGCTAGTCACTTCCATATCAGCTTGTTTCCTCACTTACAAAATGGGGGTACAACCTATTGGTAGAGGCTCATTATATTAATTAGAATTTTCCCCTGCTGCAGGCCTGGCACATGGTCAGTGCTCAACAAGTCACATTTTTGAAAAAGCATTTGCTGCAGTTCTACTTGATATGAACTGGTGCCAAACACTAGGATGTAGAGGTGAGTGAGGCAGAATCAGACTAGCCTTCACCAAGACTAGTTCAGACCAACTATCCCATGAATAGGGAGGGGTAACCGCACTTGCCCAGATGTAGTGACCGGGCACACAGCAAGTACCTAACCAAGGTTTGCCAAATTCTAATCCTGGGTGCAGCTACTGTGGCCCAGAGATTATCTTGCTTTTGTTCTCTCTTTGGATACTGAAGATATAAAGTTGCTGGAAAATAAAGTGTGAGACCTTATTTCAAAATAAAAATCCAAACAGTAATAAATAAAAATAAAGTTGCCTGATGTTGGGAAATTTGGAACCCAGCCTAGACCACTGCTGGTGTTCAGTGGGTGTTGGAGTGCATCTATAGCATAAGGTAAATGATGCTGAGCATAGTAGCACACACCTATTAATATAATCTCAGTACTTAGGAGACTAAGGAAGATTATGAGTTTGAGGCAACTTGGGCTACATATCAAGACCCTGTCTTGAAAAAGAGGGGAAGGGAAGTAAGTGAATGAGCCTAGAATTTAGTAGGCTCTTCAAAGATGAAGTCAGATCCTGGATTTCTTGTATAAGAAGGCCATCCTCTGATTTACAATCATTCTGAAACCTGGAGGAGCAATGACTTCTGGACTGCTTTCCTTTGGAGATTTTATAAAGAGCTAAGAATACCAGATGTACTTATCTATATACTGCTTTTTCAGAAATATATGGGTTGGGGATGTGGCTCAGTGGCAGAACATTTACCATGTATAAAGCCCTGGGTTCAATCTCTAAGTCTGAAAAATTAAAGCAATTTTTAATGTTTTAATATTTACCAAGTGTCTTATCCAAATCCTAAACTTTCATGTGTTGTTTATGGTTTTGTTTTTGTTTTTTTAATTTTGAGACAAGCTCTTACTATGGTGCCCTGGCTGGCCTGGAACTTACAGAGATCTGCATGCTTCTGCGTCCCAAGTACTGGGATTAAAGGTATATACTACCATTCCTGACAAGTAGGATTTCTTCAAGGTAATGCTCACTATAACCCTATGAAGTAGTATTATTTTCTTCATTTCTATAGATAAGGACCTAGAGATTCACTGAAGATAAGTGACTTGCCCTAAAGGATCAGAACCCACTTATTCTATTAGGAACTACTCTATGAAAGTATTTCATGCAGTGTTCTAGGTTAATCATTATCAACTTGACTGAATTTGGAATCATCTGGGAGAAACACATCTGGGGATGTCTGTGAGTGTGTTTCCACAGAGAAGTTTAACTGAGGAGGGAAGACCCACCCTGAATGTGGGCAGCACCATCCTATGGACTGGGGTCCCTGGCTAAATGAAAAAGGAAGAAAAGAAGAAAGGGAGCTGACATCACTCCTGACTACAGACACATTACTAGCCACCTCACACTCAAACTGACATGCCTTCTGAGCCATGATGGTCTGTATCTCAAACTACGAGCCCAAATAAACTTTTCCTTCCTCAAGATTAGCCCCCAAGAAAAAAGCAGACTCAGGAGCATAAAACACAGGACAGAAGGGCTAGAGAGATGGCTCAGCGATTAAGAGCACTGACTGCTCTTGCAGAGAACCCAGGTTTGATTCCCAGCACCCACATGGTGGCTACGAACCGTCCTTAACTCCAGTTCCAGGGGAATCCGAAGCCCTCTTCTGACCTCCGCAGCATTGCACAGGCCCACTCACATACATGCAGGCAATACACTCATACACATAAAATAAAAATAATAAATAAAATATTTGAAAAAAAATACAAGACAGAACAAGGAATTTCTGTGACCCATGTAAGCCTGACTTAAAATGTACCTCACAAGTATGGGGATCTCCAGAGTTTTGCTTCTGCAATACAAGCAAGCCCGGTGCTACCAGTAAGAGCTCCTGAAATTCTTTAAGGGAAATGCTGCAGAGCAGCATGCTTTGTGGCCTCAGAGACAGAATTAGCACAGGCTTCTGCTGGGTATCAGGAAGATTTTCAAAGTAGACCAATCCCTGGAGGGAAGGAGCTTTCCACCCCTGGGGCTATGTAAGCAGGTGCTGGCTTCTTTCCATCAGAGACCATAGGTGAAATTCTTACCCTGGAAAGACATCATCAGCTACCAGCTGCTGTGCCTTCATCCTTTAGACATCTAAGTAGGTATGTTATTTCCATTGTTTCCCACCTTCACAGCATCCCCTCATAATATATGACCCCATTGTCATAGAATGAGGATCGGATGAGAAATGATCTACTCAGGATCACAGAACTGATAAAGGAGAGCCAGCCCTGGTCCCTGGCTCCTCTGACTCTAAAGCAGGGTTGCTCTCCATCCAGTATGTTACAGTAAGCTTCTCCCAGAGTATGACTGCAAGTCAGAACCAGGATTAAAAAGCTGGCCTGAGGGCTGGAAAGATGGCTCAGTGGTTAAGAGCAATGGCTGCTCTTGCAGAGGACCCAGATTCAATTGCCAGCACCTACATGGTGGCTAACAACCATCTATAATTTCAGTTCCAGGGGATCCAACACCCTTTTATGACCTCCACAGGCATTTCACAACATGGGTTCACTTACACACATACAGGCAAAACACATAACAAATATTAACAGAATAATTTTTTCAAAAAGCTGACCTGATACAAGTATAAAAGTGAGACCCAGAAGACCACCTCCTCCAATATTTCACATAGTTCCTGGGAGAAACTTAAAGGAGATAAAATATATAGAAGCCCTTTAGTGACACAATAGGTGCCTCTCCCATCCACCTGCCCATGTTGTACACGCACACACACACACACACACACACACACACACACACACATTCTCTCATACACACAGCCCTCTCCACTCTCTCTCTTTTCTGTCACTATCCCCTACCTATATTGGCACAGGCTGCTCAGAAATGCTTGTCAGTGCATCCAGATGCTGGTCATTCCTTACCTGGGGATAGCTCAGCTGGGGATACTACTACAGATGATACAGCATAAGGACCTATACACAGTCACCTCATTCCTACCATGGCCACCTTTCCCTATCCTCCTCTGCTCTTATGAGTTCCTTAACAGCCCTCCAGCCAGCCTGGGGAGTGTCCCTGCCTTCTCCTCAAGACAGAATTCCAATCCAACCACCAGAAGAGGGCAGGGGCTCTCCCTAGG